CCCGAGTCCGTCCATGTTTTGTTTGTCCGTATCCATCCGTCGCATTTTTCCTTTCCTTGCAGGTAATGACAAAAAACGATTCCGCCCTTCCTTTGGGATAGGGTCAGTGATTCTATCATCCAAAAAATTTTAAATTAAATTGTTGAGTTTTAGAGATTCCATGGGCATGTTTAACCTTGTCTATCAGATATTTCGTTTTTTCATTTGATAAAATTAAATATAGGAATGGCTCTCTTGCAAATCAACTTCTCTGTAAATCCTACGAAATTGGTTCGGACACAAATGTTGGACATAAAAGATTGCAATCTTATGTTCTTTCTCGTTGGAAGAGTGCTGAAACAGCTTTGATTGGCGTTAATATTGACCATTCTCTTTTATTGGAATATGCGGTTAAATTTAAATATTTTTATCAGAATTATGTTTAAATTTAAGGCAGATCATCGTGTAGTCCCGGACGGGGCTGGCCATCCAGCCAATCCAAGTCCTTTCTTAGGTGGCGAAGTTCGTCAATTCGGACCTGGAAAGTTAGCACATATTGCAATAGTGGGTGAGGGAGCCGCCTTTAAAGATGAAAAAGCTGTTGCAATTCAATCTGTTCTTGCTCAGTTGATTGGCAAAACAGGTTCTAATATTAAAAAAAATATTTAAAAAAATCTTCTCTTGACTATTTCGTATTTTCGATTGATTTACATATTGCACCCAGGCCTGTAGCTCTTGCGTGCCTGATTGCACATAAAAATAAAAAATGGTGAAATGTAAAATGGGTCACTAGACGACACTATTACCCATTTTATTTTTTTGTCAATTTTATTTTGAAGAATTTTTCTCATGAGATTAAGGAAATTCCTTGCTACAAGGCTCTGACTTTCTTATTTATAAAATCGGAATTTTAGATTTACTCTTGCACATTTTTTATTTTCATTTAAAAATATTTTTCTTTATTTTTTAAGGTCAATATACAAACTATCAAAATATTGCACAGCCATCAATTGTTCATCGAACTCTTTTCAAAGCAGCGAATCACAATCCTTTCCATTTATCTCAAGTGAATATTTCTCATTCAGATATTGGACTTGTTGGTTTTTATCTCGTTGCGGAAGGCGAAAAGGTTCTGAAAACAAATAAAATTGTGATATTTGTTATTTTTAGATTTTCCCGTATGTTAAAGCAGCTGTTCAAGGGCTTCGTGAACTTGCTGAAAAAACTGTTGATCAGGAACTTATTCAGGTTTTTTGAATTTTAATTAGCCTAATTTTAAGGTGGGATTAATGGTAGTTCCTTAAACTTTGCGTTTATAATTCGAGGGAAAACCTTAGGCGTTGATTTAAATTAGAGTAGCACGAGACCGGTTAATGGCCTCGTTTATTTTTCCCTGTGACGGATCAAAAAGAGAAGGGAAAAGAGGAAGAAGGACTCGCCACAAAGAAAAATAAACGAGATCATTAACCTGTCTCGTGCTACTCTAATTTAAATCTTATTTCCTTTTCCTAAATAAAAAGTTTTTCTTGCCGTTAAAAGGCCCAAAATTTTTTATTTTTAAAAAATTTAGATAGCCAAACAAACTTTGGCTTTGCAAACTTTAAGCAAGTTTGACTCAAGTGAATTGTTGGCACTGGATCAAGCTTCTCAAGTTATGGCTAAAGGCGCAGCTCAATCACCAGAAGAGTTTGTAAATATTGTGCAGAGTGTTACTGCTGAGGATATTAAAAAAGTAAAAATTAAATTTTAAAGAAAATTTTTATTTTAAAATATTTTAAGGCGGCAACTAAACTTTGTGCAAAACTTGCTTTATCTGCTTATGGACAAATTAATCAAACTCCCTATTTGGACGAAATTTAAAAATAGCGAAAAATAAAGGACAAAAAAGTTTTCTCTCAATCTTTTGATTTTAGGCTGTTGTATAACTTTTTCTCTTAAAAATAGGAAAATTGTTTTGGTTATTTTTTTTGTTTTTGCTTTAATTTACTGAATTTGTTTGAGAAATATAAGGTTGGGAATTATATATTTGTGTAGATTTTCTAAGCTTGGTGATAGGGTTGCCGTTTTTGAGCCGAGCCGACGGTCGAGGCATTTTTTCGGACTTGTGTTTTATCGAGTCGGGCCTGTACGAGTCTTTCGGGCCAAATATTTTAGGCCCTACACGATCTTTCGGTCCGATTGGGCCATCTTGGCGAAGTCAAATTTTAATAAAAAGTTTCTAAAATGTGGTTAACTAACAATACAATAATTTCCTATGCTTAATGAAACTAGCCAAAAATAATGAAATAACCCCATTTTATCGAATACAATACACAGACAAATATACATAAACAATATTACAATTTAGAACAATGAGACAAATATTTATTTAGGCCTCATGATCTGTATTTTCGTTTGCAGTACCAGCTTCGCTAGCCAACTGGGCATCTCTAATTTTTCTCTTCATCGCGTTGCTCTGTCCTGCACGTTCAATTCTGAAGTAATAAGGTTGGCCTTCATCGGGAATGATTTCTAATTCATAGTGGAAGCGAACATATGTATTGGTGTACTGAAAATAAGGAAATTTTAACTAGGCAAAAGTTAGGTCTACTTACGTAGCCAGTGATGAACGCAAAATACACAATGAAGATCATCGCCAGTATATACATGAGAATAGTGAGCAAACCCATTTTATTGTGATGAGGACAAAATTGGCAATAATGATTGTTTAGATGAACATTATAAAATGTTGAAAATTTTTGTTTTTATAGTTTTAATTAACTATAAAAGCCTTTATAACTTCTGAACACGTTTATCCAAACAATCAACTCAACGTAAGTACTTGGCCGTCAAGAATTTCGGATGCTGGTTTGTATAGAAATGGTGATTCTGGACATCTTCCTGTATATAACTATAATGCTTCTCTTGCTGTTGTATGTGATTATTGTGTTTTGTGCCTTCACTCTTGGCTACGTGAGTGATAATTGTTTTTAATTATTTCTCATTTTTTTGCCTTCAAGGTGCTAAATACTCACTTGCGAGAGGAACACAAGCTCGAGTTCTTGTTTGATGCGATTGTTGTCGACGACGTACTGTATGAATTATACAGTAGAGAACGCTACATAATATAAAGGAACATGTCGAATTGCAGCACAAAGTTAGGGAGAATGAGAAGAATAAAGAAATTTAAATAAAGAAATATGTAAATAAGAAGGATTGTTTTAGTGATAATTGGGTGATTTACAAACGTTTTTTTGTTTCTTGTAGTATATTTAGTATTGTGTTTGTATTTCCTTTTATGTTGAATCTAAAAATAAATTTTCCAACTATTTTGGGGTTTCTTTAATTTTTAACGGTTTTATTACATTTTAGCATCCATATTAGTATTTCACCTGAACCGAAATTTTGACTGGGACCGGATCCAATTTGAATTCCGGAACCGGAACTTTTCTAAGTTCTTGCCCAGAACCGGAACTAAAAAACACCGGAACTTCCGGTGAAAATCTAATCTCTATTTTACTGAAAAATGGCTTTTGAATGGGCGGAGCCTAGATTTGAGAGTGTCCGAGCCTAAGATATAGGGGTTGCCAAAGACCGACTCATACCAAAGGATAGAGTAGTGCCTAAGATATTTTGGCCAGAAAAAGACTCGTACAGGCCCGGCTCGATAAAAACAAGCCCTAAAAAATGCCTCGATCGTCAGCTCGACTCGAAAGCGGCAACCCTGATAAATTCTCATTTAAAGGATTATGTGATAAAAAACATAAAATTAGGTAATTAACTCCTAGTATATTTTTTTTTAATAATTTATCTAATTTTGTAAATATTCAAAAAATTCCAATCCAAACTATTAATCATTCAACAAAATATTTTTGTCTACAAATTGCAGGTGGATGATCAGATAAAAACTTTTTTTGAAAAAAAAATATTAAAAGAAAAAAGGATGTTTTTACATACTACTAAAAAAACTTTTTGCTTTCTCCTTTAATAAAAAAATGTAAATTGTTAAAAGAAATAAATAAAATTAACATTTTTAGCTAGAAAGAGAGAAAATAATTTTAAAAAGTTGAAAGATCAAAAAAATGTAAGAAAAAATAAAACATTTTGTCATTATTTACAAAACACTTTGTTTAAAAAATTTCTCTAATTTTATTTGTATTAAACTAACAACTAATTACTATACTTTAATTCCCCCTTTTGTGATTGGATAAAATAAAGGTTTATTTTCCTTTATTATCTAACAATTTAATCAAAAATTTATTTAAATAAAATACTCATCTCTCTCCCAACATTTTTTTCATTATACAAATATCTGCTAATAAATTAAAATAATTTATTTTTTATTTTAAAACCATTTAAAAATATATAGAATATTTTTAAAAACTAGAACTTTTTAATAATTTTATTTCCTCAAATTACCTTCCACTATATTCATAAAAATTACATATTTTGACTTAATTTAAATTTAAAAAATTCTTTAATTTTTTTAAAATATAGGACAGAGAATTTGATAAATATTCAGTAATTTATAGTAATATCTTTTGTGATTTAATTGTAATTTTTATTTTTAAATACAAATTAAAACAATTTTTTGTACTTTTCCGTTATACGACCGCAACTGAGTGACAGTCAACTTTAAACAGCAATAACTTTTTGATGCTTGGTCCAATACAAATAAATTTTATATCATTCAAAAGCCCTCGAAAGCTCCATACTTTTTCTGAGAGGGTAGATCAGGTCTGATCACTCATTAAAGAGTTATAACCGATAAGTTATTTTGTGTTTTTCACATTCATCGAGTTATAACTTTTTAGTTGCTGATCAGACCTGATCCATCAAGTCGGAAAAAAGATGAGCTTATCGAGGGCTTTCGAATGATATAAAATTCATTTGTATAGAACTAAGCATTAAAAAGTTATAGCTATTTAAAGTCGAATGGTAGTCGTATAACGGAAAAGTACCCAATTTTTAAAAATAATTTTATTTATTAAATTAATAATTTAATTAGTTTATAATTATTCCAGAAATTATTTCTTTTTGAAATGTCTTCAAATTCAAGAGCATTAAGGGTTAATTTAAATTTAAAAAATAATAATTTAAATTTAATTCTTTATTTTCTATAGAATTCATTAAATGATTTGGAAAATGCCATGGAAGTGAGAATTAATCATAATAATGATATGAACGGAGATTGCTTTTGTAGACGTGTTTTGAATTCGCCATATGGTTTTGTAGAATGCTGCGGTACCATTGGGCACAAAGAATGTCTCATAAATTTTGTATCAGAGTATAAACGTTGTCCTTCCATGGATTGTCTAAGAAGGGCCAAAGAAGAAGATGTTAAAGATTTTAATCCGCCAGGAATTAATATTTTACGAGAAATTATTTCACCAAATAATGTTTAGTGAATTACTGAATTTAATTAAAAATATTTTAAAATTAAACAGATATTATCCTTTTTGAAATATTTATGGAGCATGGTGGTCAGTTTTGTTAAAAATGTTAGTTTAGCTGATAGTAAATTGATTACTACGTTGATTGGAGCGTTTAATGTAAAAAATTTCTAGATATATAAATTAAAAAAATAAATTTAGCATTTTTTTACTGGCAAGCCTTCAATTAGTGGTGGAACTGCTGATAGTAAAAATATGAATGTAGATACTTTTAAGAAATCGAAATTACGATGGATTATAGGGTTTATAGATAGAAACAAAGGTTCAATGATTTTGTTGGCTGTTGCGTTGGGTAATTTAAATTAAAAAATAAATTTTATAAAATTTAAAATCTGATTTTTCTACTAAAATTCGACTTGGACTACCTAAATACCCCCAAAAATATATAACTTCTATTTTTTAAATTTGGGGAAGGGGGGGGGGAACTAAGTAATATCCCCGAATTTTAGACATACATCTTTCAAAACTATTTTTAAACAGTACTTAAAATCAAATTCCGGCTATAAAGCTCCCCCATGATTATCCAAAAAAGACTGATTAATTAAAAAAATATTTTTATTCGATTATATTTTCAGTAATTGTTTGTATTTTGTTCTCTCAATTTGGTGTTTGGTCTTCAATTTTTGTATTTATTCGCCAATCATTTATGGCATTGAAAGAAAATGCTCCAAATCTAGCAGTCGCAGTTATGGCGTTTATAAGAACTTACTTCAACAAAAAGAAAATTGAATTTTAAAGAAATGGAAAAAGAGGAGAATAAAAATATTGTGGGAAAAAATAAAGATAAATTTAATATTTTTTAAAATATTTTAAATTATTAATTCAAAGTTAAATAATGTTTATTTTTTACTCTAAATAAATTTCGGAATTCTTGAATACTTTGATAAAATACAACTTTTAGGAAGTTGGAAAAATGTGAGTATTTGTAATATGGGGCGGGGTATTAATAAGGAATAGGTTGGATCAAGATGAATGACTCAACGAAGATGAATCAAGGATTTTTAAGATTTAAGAGTATATAGAGAGATTTGGGCAGGTTTTGCCTCTCTTATTTGCTGAATTTCGCCCTTTTTGGACTTTAGTATTTCGCCGTTCGCTTTATAAAATACTCTTCGGCACTTTAAAATCACCTTGACAACACCCATGATATATAACTAAATACAACTTTCAAATAATTTCTAGATTATAAAACTTGTCCAATAAAGATAATAAAATTTGCCTTTAAAATATCTCATCATCTTTGTTAGAAAATATATTTATTTGTTTAATTGATAATTTCAAAAAAACTAAAATTAAATAATTTCTAAGCCATCAAGATCATTCTCGTATCTCAATTTTTTATATTTAATATACCAACAATTTTGCCAACAATAAGAAGCTTGTGGCTCACAGAACCATGGCTTAAAAATAAAAGCTTGGTATTTAATTTTCTAATATCTTTTTAGAAAATTTATTTGTTTAGCTGATAATTTTTAAAAAAATTAAAAGTAAATTCTTTCTATTAAAATAAAATAATTCTCATAGATATCTCATATTTATTTATATTTTTTGGTTCTATGCGTTTACATCCCCGCATTTTACGTTCACCCTTTTTTTCATAAATACCTTTCGACGCTATACCTATCCCAATTAATCCCTTGATATCCATCACATTCCACTGTTATCACTCCATATCCCCTTAATCTACACAAATCCCCGTAATAATATTATCCATTGATTTTCCACCCGAAGCCCGGAGTCAACATGTCATGAAATACAGTTTCTGAGATTAGATTTTTCGTCTTTATTCACATTTGAAATAAACTGTAAATAACCGAAAAGTATTGTGACAAAAAAATTAAAATTATGGAGTGATACCAGTGGAATGTGATGGATAAAAAATGTGAATAAAGGCGAAAAATCCGAAACAAATTTGTCAGACAAATTTGTCAGATATCGCTATAGGAAAATCATTTTTTGGGACTTTTTCAGTATGGCACCTTAAATCTAAAAATGTTTTAAAATTCCCCTATTTACATTTGTGTCAATTAATTATTATCACAATACTTTTCGGTTATTTACATTTTATTTTTATTCAGAAAAAATATCCTTTTATTTTAAAAAATGAAAAGAAACTTCATTAAACAATGCAAAGTTTGTGGATCAAAAGAGAATATTTGTTATCATTATGGTGTTTGTACATGTAGGGCTTGTGGGGCTTTTTTCAGGTATTTTTTATTTTTCATTATATTTAAAAATTCTTTCTCAAAAGGCGTTATCTTGAAAACGAAAATAAATATAGATATAGTGAATGTAATTATAAATGTTTGCAAGAACAATTTTCAAATGCGAATAAAGACGAAAAATCCGAAACAAATTTGTTAGATTGTAAAAAATGTAGACTTGAAAAGTGTTTTTCTGTTGGAATGAAAAGATTGGGTTTGTCAAAATATTTAAAAATAATCTGAGAAGGAATTTAGATGTTGGATATGTACGACAAGATATATGCCGGGAAGCGATGGAAGGACAAAGAAGTGGAATTATTAAAGTAAGTCTAACTTTTAAGTGGGGATCGGAAAGGTTACGGTAGAATCTTATTTTTATCGATAAGGCACCCAGTTATTTTTTTGATGAGGCTTAGGTACTCAAACCCGATTAAAGGTTTAAATGGGTCTAAACAACACTATCTTTAAGCTTTCAAATCCTTCAATTGTCGACTTATCCGTCGAAGATCAAAACCAAATAGACTTCATTATACCAATTATTGAAGCCAAAAAACGTATTATGCATGCATTTAATGATTTGGATGATATATTCCTTAAAGGACCGATTTTGTTTGAAGAAATAATTTTATCTAATTTTAATATTTTTCGTTTAGTTGATACTTTCTCGGTAAATTTTAATTTAATTTTCAATGAAAATAATTTTGTTTAAAGCCAAATCCAAGACCAATACCGCTTGATGAGTTAGTAAGTTGGCAATCTTCAATGGAAAATGAAGAGTTGTTTAGTAGTAGAATTCAAAAATGCATTTTAGTTGGCAGACTTTTGTGTTTTGGTATAGCTAAATCTTTACCTGTTTTTGAAAAATTGACTTTATCTGATCAGGTATTGTTACAAGTGAATGAGTACGAATTTTTGTTTGTGACATGCAAAGAAGATTTCTTCAGAGGGTTCTGAATAAATCCCATCCACCTTTCTCACAATTATCCCCGACTTGAACCCGGACACGAAACAATTTGAAAATTGTTTTTATTAATTGCAATTCTACTATACTATTTATAAGGCTCTTTTCTTTCGCCGAATTTTTGCCTCTTTTAGTATTTAGTCTTTTGCATTTAATTTTAGCTTTTAAAATCAAGTTCGGCACAAGTCTGGTATAACGGATGTGTTAAAACTTATTTAAAGGATAATAGGCTAAAAAGAGCTCAATTAATGCAAAAATTATTTTTATTTTTTATAAATAGGTTGCACAACTAAGACAGGCTTATTATGTGTTTACATCATTTACAAGCTCCTACTTAGCTTGGGAATTAGGTTCTGAAACTTGGACACGTAAAGATTGTGTCATGCCTGCTCTCGGTATTATGCAGAATAGTGTATTTTCACATGATGATAAGTAAATAAATTTTTATTAAGAAAATTCTAAAACAATTTTCAAAAAAATTTTTGATTAAGAAGATATGAAAAATATTTCTTTAATTTTTAGAATGATTAAATGGTCAGATTACGCATTTACAAAATCTGTTGGGCACTTTAAACGTGCTGCATTAACAAAAATTGAATTTGCTTTGTTAATAGCTATTATTTTTACAATATCAAGTAAAAACTTTAATTTGTAAAGGCGAATACCGTATATGCTGAAATAATTACCCTCTCTCAATAAACCTCTCTCATACCTTCGCCCTAATAATTATGCCCTTCAGCGAGAAATATAAACAATAATTACGCAGGGTAATTATTTCAGCATAAGTTTTGATTGACCTCATTATTTATATAAATGAGTACATAAAATTGGCTCTACTCCAGTTTATGCGTCCAATCGACTTTTATGCGTCCATTGAAAGTTTATGCGTCCAATAAAAAGAAAATTGGATTTTTCTTGGTATTGCACAGTTGGGGTATGGGTCCACAACATTTCTTCATGTTCGGGACCTACGTTCACTGGGTCTGGGACCATTCCTTACTCTATACCTAGAAATTTTTTAAAGTTATAGCCAATTTTTTAAAATTTCAGAAAAACGATTATAACTTCCAGAAATTTCGAGGGGTCGGGTAAGGAATGGTCCCAGACCCAGTGGACGTGGTCCCGAACATGAAGAAATGTTGTGGACCCATACCCCAACTGTGCAATACCAAGAAAAATCCAATTTTCTTTTTATTGGACGCATAAACTTTCAATGGACGCATAAAAGTCGATTGGACGCATAAACTGGAGTAGAGCCATAAAATGTTGCATAGATATATTAAATTAGGGCTGGGCGGGATCGCGATCCCAGACATTCCAAATCCACCTTAATCACAGTAAAACCCAGATATCTAACTAAAACATTTTTGATCCCTATATATCACATTAAATCCTCTTAAAATTTCCTTTAAGTTGGAAATATAGCGAGAATTATTTTTGCAAGCGAGAATTTTGAAAATTCGGAGGTTAAAAGGTTCTGAGTTAATTAAACCTAAATTTTCCGGAGGTTATTAGGCCGGATTTCCTTCATTTTTGGTGCGTGATATTACGAAAAATTGCATAAAAATCCGCAAATCAAAAAACTAAATTTTACGCAATCCACATACGCAATCCGCAATTGCGGACAGACCTTGTATTTACTCGGTCTTTGACTTTTTTTAAACTAAATTTACTAATTAAACTATAATTTTTTCATAAAAAGATGCTAAAGACTTGTCTTCTGAAGGAAAGGAATTACTTTTAGAGGAATCTAATAAATATACAAATATTTTACTTCGATATAATCAACGAAGATTAGGTTTAATTGAAGGGGCTGAAAGATTGGCTGAATGTAGCCGACTAATTACTCGAAGTATTGAAAATGAATGTGCACTTAGATTAATGTTTTCTCATCAATTTAAGCAATATTCAATGGGTCAACTTACTATAAATTGTCAAACTTTTTTGAAAATTTTTTGAATAAAACTGATTAAAAATTAATGATTTCTTAAAATAAAATATAAATATGTATGTATTTTTTTCTTCTATATTTTTACAATTTAATTTAAAAATAAATTTTTAATCTATTTTTACGATTGGGGTTTCTTTAATTTTTTGATTGTTTCATTACATTTTAGAATCCATATCTTACATAAAAAAGG